CTGAAAAAAAAAAAAGTGTCTTTTTAAGGCCTATACCTCCCTGTAGAACACGGCTGACCCCAGACAAGCGAGTCCAGCGTTAGAGGGGTGCGAACACACACACAGAAAGACAATACAGTTGCACCTTGCTCCCTCAGGGAACCGGGCTAATAAAAAGCCCCACATTACAGCATCTATACAAGCCATGAGGTGAAAACAAATCCTAAGAAGTCACTGCAGTGACAATTCAGTCAAATGGGTTTGTATTACTACCTACGTGGCAGGATGCAAAACAAGGACTGGTGAGAAGGCTGGGGATTGCAGGGTCAAAACACCAGCTATTTAAGTACTACCTATGGATTCTGCTGGCACTGGCACTGGCACTGCTATGCTGCGCTGGGAGCTTGCCGCAGGAGTCTCCTAGTGAAGAGGTGACAAAATGATGACCTTCCTGCCCATCTCAAGTTGCTTTCCAGACAGAATTTGAAGATCTCGTATTACATTTTGAGAAAAATAGTAAATAAATCCAGCAGACCACTTAGCATTCAATTTCTCCATGCGTAACGTATTTTGACAAGTTTCTTCAGTTATCACCTTTGCTCAAGTCACAGTTTAGCACTCTAAAAAGACTGAAAGGTATTAAAATAGAGAAGTTTGTATCTCGTGGGGATGTTAGCAACTTTCCAGTCTCTCTCATTTCTTCCTTCCATTCCACAAAGACACACATCTTAAATTTGATTTTAAAAAAATAGTTACCATGGTAAGGCTTCTCCCCGGGAAAAAAAAAAAAATCACCAATACCTGTGCATCAGCCAAAGAGCCTATTGCAAAGCCACGCAGCGCCTTTTTTTTTATTTTTCAAGGGCCCTGCCAGTGTGAGAATGACAAAGTGAGCACTTTTCTCAAACTGCCTCGTACCGCAGAGCACTGTTCTCCTTCTGGAAAACTAGTGCACGCTTTCGGCTTGTGCTCTGGGGCTACTGCGTGACATTTCTTCCTTCATTCCCAGCCTGTGCTCTTCTTCCCTCTGGCATCTGAAGACAGAATTAGAGGCATCCTATAACTGCCCATGATTTCTGGATGTGATAACCTAGTTATCCAAGTGATATTGCTCTATATGTACCACATGCTTAGCTTGTGGCAATGAACCATTTCTATAGCTACCTTTGGACTATCAAACATTTCATCTTAAGCCCAGCATAGAAATGCAGAGTATTTTGTTTGGCTTTACTCACCTTAGCACCAGATTACAGTTCCATCCAGTGATTAATGAAAACAAATCTGTTTTTCACAGTAGTTCCTATATAGCTGCACAAAGTATTATAAGAGAGTCATATGAGAACTTTCATGACAAAGAATGATTGGACTGAAAAATATATGGAAATCTTGTCACCACATTTGTATTTCTGAATTGTTTAAAATAAAGACAAATTATACCTAGTTTTTAATGATATGAGCTAAGAGATTGTATTACACATCTCATTCGTGAGGTAATCAGTACTATTATGAATACTGCATCTGCTGTTTTCTGTAGCAGCAATATGAAAATTAAATGTTTACACGTTATACACACAGACACAGCCATGTGACCGCATAGCGCTGGGAAGATTACCGACTGCTTCCCATTTATTCAGTTCAGGGTTGTATTTCTCAATACTCTGCAGATACGTTCCTTTTGAATAGGAATATCCTCCTGTTACATAGATGCATCCGTTCATAACCACCGCGCCACACTCCATCCTTCTCTCCATCATGTGAGCCATCTGCTTCCACTCATTTTGCTCTGGGTCATAGCAGTCCGTGATCGTGGTCTGTCCACCCACAAAATAGATCTTGTTTTGTAATGTAATTGAACACAATCCGTATTCTTCAGGAAGAAAGAAATACAGTTCAACTCAACATGATAACGTTAACTTAAACTGCAGCTACATGAGAAACACTGGGCACCGCTGAGGGTGGCTGAGTTTCTTCACTGAGCTTAGGAGACACCTCAGGATTTTCTGCTACACTGAGTAAAAGCAAGCTCAAGGCGTTACAGAAGATACAGACGTGAGCACCAGTACTTAGTGAGAATTGCTTTAAAAACTTACTGTTACCAAATGTAGAACATAAAGAAAACCCTCTTAAAATTCATATAAATTATTTTTGCTGAATGCCTATGAATAGATAGATTTTATAGAAAGTTAGTTTACTAGAGTGTTTAACAGAATGCAGCCATTCCTTAGTTCAATATTTACATAGTGGTTTCTATAGAATGGATGCTTGAAGAGGGTCTTCCCTTCCCCTCTCAGAGTCTGAAAATGGGAGATGATGCCACTCTGGCCCATGCTGCCCTAAAGGCATTGCTCCTTTTATTAGAAACATGCCAGAAACTCTTCAGTGGGCTTAAAGACTCCCAGCTACAAGTAATCAAATCAAGCTCTACGGTCGTTACAGAAATTATTGTTTACCTGGATGCGGACTTGTGGTGACTATACTCCACTCATTGCTACCTGAATGGTATCTCTGGATTTTATCATAGGTGCAGCTTCCCCTGTACCCATAGTGACCTCCAGTTACGTAGATGACTTCATGCAGGACACAGGCAGTGGCATTTCCAACACCTGTACACAGTGTGAAAGTCACAACACACCTTCAGACTGCACACAATAACCATGGTCAGTTCCACCCATAATCCCATTTCAAATTACTTCTTAATTAATATTTTAGGGTGAAATTATGCTTGCAAGTATTTAACTGAATGTGAAATTAAATAAACTTGTCAAGACACCTTATTTTATCAGCCTAAGTCAAGAGCAATTAAATAAAACTGCAGTAACCGATACATATTGCGTATAATGCAGCCACACAATACTTCACAGAATTTTTATGCAGCCACATTGGTTTTGGAATAGGGAATTACTTTCAATATTTCACTAAGTTAAAGAGATTTTTAAAAGTCACTCATATGGCAAGGACAAAGACAATGGGAGTTGAGATCATTCAGTGTCTCAGCGTATCTCTTCTGATACTTTTAGTCTTTCTCATGGTATTATTAATTATGCTACTGTATAAACAAGGACACAAACAGAATGGAGCCATGTTAACTCTGTCTCTAGGAGAACAAAACAAAATAAAACAAGGGATCTGGCAAGACAAAATGGACCAAAATTAGAAAATTAGTGTGGGGTTTTTAAGCATCTAAGAACTTGCACACAGAAAACGCGGCAAAACAGCTGCACAGAATGTGTAACTGCTCACAGTATTAATGTAGTGCTTCTATTTTTGAAGGAAATAAAAAGAGAATAATAGCAATGTTTGTGGAAAATATATGAACAATGAAGAAAGTTGTAGGAGCTCGAAAAGTGGTTTTTCCTGTTAGATACACCTCCAAAAACTCTCCTGTATGTAGAAAAATACTATGTTGCATCAACTTACAGTAAAATTTTATAATTAGTTGTAAATAATTGCATTAATTTATAGAAATGTATGATAAAACGTGTAATTGTTTATAAATTTTGTAACAAAATAATACCCTTCAGTTATGCTGTGATTCAAATTCATACATTTTTAATAGATCACTATTTTGGCTGCTAGAAACAGGTATTAGGGCTTTTCATTATCCTCACACTAAAGATTAAACTAAGGATCCTGCACAGATGATACACTGAAATATGAGGCAACTGCATGCAAGAAGTTTTAAATGAAGATGACACCTTTATAAATGATTGCACAGAAAGTCTTAGTAATCTGGTCTTAGATTAAAATAATACAATCCTTTTATTGGAGCTTGCTTTTTGACCATCTGCTGAATGGACTCTAATCCCAGGTAGTTTTCTGATTGCTAATTTGAACAGAAATTTTACTCCTGAAAGAAGGCAAAATTAAACTGAGCCTGCCACTTGCTTTTTGACCCTGGTGTTCTGTGGCACAGCCCAGCATAGCATTTGGACGTTTACAGTCGTTTGGCTAGTAAAGACCTGAACCAAAGCCCACCAACATTAACAGGAGATTCCCATGGACTTCACTAGAACTCGGATCAAACCCTAAATATGTCCATGGCACTTAGAAGTGGCAAATGCAAAATGATCGACAGTTGAGGCAGATGCCATACACCTTTGCTTACCCACCTTTGATCATGTTTGCAATAGGAAGCCATTTCTTTTTTAAAGGATCATAGAACTCAGCTTCTTGCACCGGAGCTCCCTTTCGGTAACCACCCAACACGTAGACGCAGCCACTCAAGGAAACTGCGCAGTGGTAATACCTTGCGTCAAGCATGGGGCAGCCTTCTGTCCATTCATCTCTCTCACTGTTATATATCCACACGGTGTCAAGGGCTTCGATGCTCTCTGTTCTATAACCTCCTGTCACATATATGTCTGGTCCCAAGCTAGTGACACCATAGCTCTCTCTGGTGTGATCCGGCATCTCTGTTCCCTGGACCCATGCGTTGGTTAAAGGATCCCAAACATGCACTTCTGATAAGGGATGCCAATAATAGCCTCCGATCACATACATGGCTGCTGTGGGTCTTCTGGAAAGACCTTTGGGATTGAGGTTCAGGGCGTTGTATATGAGTGACCTTATCTTATTGTCATTAAGTCGGCATTTTTTTTGTAGGCTTAAAGCTGACCTCAAATACATGTTATCTAAGTCTACTTTGATGTAGCTCAGCAGTTCATAGACGTCTTCAATTCTTTCTTCCACATTGTGTGCAACCCACTTAATGACAGCTTCAATGGCCGCCTCTTCCTTCCAAACATTGAGATTCTCTCTGGAGAGGATATAAGAGAGCTTCTCCTTGCCAACGTCCAGAAACTCTTCCTGCTTCCACACTTCTTCAAACTGCCATAACAATATCCTCCTGGACTCTTTTTCTAGCTCCGAGCAATCATGATATTCGGCAAAGGAGTGCATCCCTATGCAGTTGTCAGTATCTAAGTGCCTCATCAGAAACTGCTCGCAGGCTTTCTTTACTGACACGAACTGGAGGAGGTCTGCAGCCTGGAGTAGGCTTTGGACGTTTCTCTTTGTTATCCGGATCTGTGATGTGTATGCATAATTCACGAGGGCTTCCAGTACGGCATGGCTGAGCCCGGGAAGTCTGATCTGGTTTTTAGATTTCTCTTTCATATCGGCTGTGAACATGGCTTTAAAATAATTGCTGCAAGCCGCTAAGGCGGCTCTGTGGCAGTGGAAGATGACCCCCGAAGCGCACTGCAGGGTGATGTCGGTGAACAGCCCGTCCAGGTAAAACGCCCGGAACGCCTCCAGGAAATCGGCGGGGTGAGAGGAGTCCTTGTAGAGGTA